GACGTTGTTCGCTCCAGTCCCTCGATGTATTTCTCGGCTTCATCCGGCGTCTCAAACGAGTATTTTTGGCCTTTGAATGAGACTTTCAGTATTGCTGGGTAAATTAGAAAAGTTTCCGCACCTTTTTGTTGGAGTTTGGATCTGACGGCCGAGAACGCTTTTCTCTTCTGTGCGGTCGCGGCGCTGTAATCTGCATAGAATTCCAGACGCGCTCCTCCGGGTAGTGTGGGCTTTGCTTTACGTGCACCATGAAGTATGGCCTGCCTGTCCGGATAACGAAGGAGTCGAAAGATCATCGCTCGTGATCTGTAGGAGTTAGAATTCGAGTAGACTCGATGAGCTCTGTTAATCTAGACAGAGACAAAACCTACTGTGCCTGTTCTCGGCATATAATAAGGCAGTATTATGTGAGTGATGTCGTTAGGCTAGTAAAATAATATTCCAACGGGGTAATCAAAATAATCTTGTTTTTCATTTTGACATAAGATTATTTTGCTTACCCCATTGGCAGATTATTTTGCTAGTTTTAAGGAAAAACTCACTTAATTTTGGCATATTATTTCTTAAAACAAGACAATATGTTTTGCTTGTCTAGAAAATTCGTCTTGATTTAAGAATTGTGAGATATTTAGACTAGAAACAAGACAAAAAATCTAAGTAAGAAAAGCATTTTTTGCAGTGTGGGCACGACCATTTTTCCTCTGGCCAAACGTCTTGTGCAGAGTTGCAGTCTAGGTACCAGAGGCTGGAGAATGTTGGACCTTAGCAAAGACTCGTCTGTCCCTGGAGCGTCAAAGGAATCAGTCTCATGCTCTCCACTCCTCCATGACCACCACAGCAGCTGCTCAGGATACGGCCTGGTCCAGGATTATGGAAACCTTGGGATCATCTCGTCGCTGGTCTTGGATCGAATCAGTGGTGCTGCATAGTCTGACGACCTCGGGATGAGTATTCCCAGGTGGAAATAGAGAATAAAAAGAGTAATTAGTGTAGCTGCTGTTCATAGTGTATATAAACGAGATGCAGAAACCTGCGTGGGGCACATTCATGTATCAAGTAATGCACTGAGTGTATGCTTTACTAAAAAGATAGGTCTTTAATCTAGTTTTGAACTGCGAGAGTGTGTCTGCGCCTCGGACATTATCAGGAAGGCTATTCCAGAGTTTAGGAGCCATAGATGAGAAGGCTCGACCTCCTTTACTCGACTTTGCTACTCTAGATACTACCAGAAGCCCTGAGTTTTGAGATCTTAAAGAGCGAGTTGGATTGTAGTGAGACAGAAGGTTGGTTCGATATACAGGGGCTAGATTATTTAAAGCTTTATAGGTAAGAAGCAATATTTTAAAATCAAATACGAAATATGACATTGGTTTTGCCTCGATGTTGGATGTTGGTTTACAACACAATCTAAAATCAACAAAATATCAATGTCATTTCACATCATTATTAGACATCAAAATAACATTGTCCTTAGATGCTGATGACCTAAATGTGACCTAATATTAACGTCCTATGATGTTGTGTGTCTGCTGGGATTAGTCAACATTTCAAGTGGATCAAAACTTAATTTGACAACTTTTAAAGTGGATAAAAATATCAAAACTCCTCAAACTACTAAATTTATTGAACAACACCCATTCTTAAGACTATTTTGAAAATATTTTTTGATCCACTTCGAATGTTGACTACTGTATATAGCCTAATATGGCCATAATCAGGTTTCTGTATAGGAATGCCATGTATAAAAGCATTGTTTAATGTGTTCATTCTTCTTTAGATTCTGACGAGTCTCCAGTGGCAAGAGAACGTACTGTGATAGTACACACAAATCCTGAAATTGGCCAGGAGGATCTAACGCTCTCTCATCTCAAAACCAAGGACTCTGGTTGCCAAACTGAAGAAATCCTAATTGCTGGGGCTGCACCCTCACGTAGACGGATTAGAGCACAAAGAGGGCAGTGCATGACCGTGTCTCTGTCCCATTCGACAGGCAACATATCTTCTCTGCCTGACAACTCTGACGCTATGTTCACTGCCTCGGCGGGCTCCCGTCTGCGTTCCCGAAGCCTTCCGCGAGAGGGAGGCCGACTGGTGGATGAAGGTCATGATGACAGCGATGAAGAGGAGGATGAGGAAGAATTGTCTCCGTTTGAGGCAGAGGACTTCCTACCAGTTCCAGGGGAGCATATATTAAAAGATGACGAGGAAAGCACTGATGATCAGACGATCCCAGAAGGACAGCATAATAGTTTGAAATTCAAGCAGCATGCTGGAAGTACAGACCATGAATGGTTGGAGAGGGGTCGATCCCGTCTGCCTCGGAAAGCTGACATGGGTAGTTGTGAGATTTCCTCTAGTTCTGACACATTCAGTAGCCCTATTCACTCCATTTCCAATGCTGGTGTGCTGACTAGCCAGATGGACCACAAGGAGGATCACCAGTCCTCAAGCGGCAACTGGAGTGGTAGTAGTTCAACATGTCCCTCCCAGACGTCGGAAACCATTCCACCTGCAGCCTCACCCCCACTCACCGGATCATCCCACTGTGATTCAGAGCTATCGCTGAATGCAGCTACCAATACTAATGATGATTCCACTGGCTTCATTATTGATCCGTATCCTGGGGACCGATTGCAAGGGCTCCGCAGCCATAGAACGGGTTCATTCACTTCCACTGCAACTGACATGCTTGACGATGCTGGAGTCAGCACTGCTAGTGAGGGTGAATGGAGTTATCCCCAATACAGGCATAACATACCTTGCCACCCTGACTTCAGTCCTGAGCACTCAAGGGCAGAGAACATACTCGAATGTCCCAGTTTTACTAGCATAGCCACTTTTGAAAGTTTAACAGATAGGCCACCTTCTGAAAAGGCAGACACCACCTCACACTATTCTGTAGATGCCGAGGGCTACTATACCTCCATGCACTTTGACTGTGGTCTTAAAGGTAGCAAAAGCTTCACATATAACTATGCATCTGTAGACCAGCAGCAGGCAGACTATGGACATCAAACAAACACACTTGGGAGACATAGTCTCTCTTTAAGGAAACCAAAGGTGAAGCCATCCCCACCAAAACGCAGCTCATCATTGAGGAAATTAAGCAGCCATGTTGGACCTCCCACAGACAAGAATGAACCAAAGATTGCAGGTGATCAGAACAAATCAATGTCTTCCGGGGAGAGAACACATAACATGGGATTAAACGGAACCTCCTTGAGTCAGCTGGAGAGCGAGGAGCCTATGGGAGCATGGGGTGTTGAGAGTTCAGCCGAGATTCCAGATGTTGCTTTGTTTGGCTCCACAGAAACGCATTCCTTCAAGGATGAGGGAGCTGTCCAGTCAGACTATGCAGATCTCTGGCTTCTTAATGACTTAAAATCCAACGATCCCTACAGATCATTGTCAAATTCCAGCACAGCTACGGGTACCACTGTCATTGAATGCATTAAGTCACAGGAGAGCTCAGAGTCCCAGACCTCACAGTCAGGTTCGAGAGCCACAACTCCATCACTACCATCAGTGGAGTGCGAGTTTAGGCTACCCTCACCAGAAAAGCTGGTAGGTCTAGCATCACCTTCAAGTGGCTACTCAAGCCAATCAGAGACACCAACATCTTCTCTTCCATCTGCTTTCTTTCCAAACGCTCACCCAATGTCCCCTACTGGTGGCAAGAGGAAACCCAAAGTCCCAGAGAGGAAGTCCTCACTTGCTTCTTTGCAGCAGAACTCATCCAAAAGGGAACTTGAATTGCCTATTATACCTCCCACCCACCTTGACCTAAGTGCCCTTCCCAATGTCAGCAAGCCTTCGGTTCACAAAAACCAGATGCACGTCCTTCACCACAGCAAGAAAAAAGCAGCAGAAACCAAGCGTGAGTGTCAAGCATCTTCAGTTTCAAGTGATGATCTACCAGTTAGCGGTGCTTTAGCCATCACTCCTACAATACTTCGTTCGGTTCAGCTACGAGCAGTTGGAAAATCTGGAGAAGGGAGTCATGATCAGCCTATAACTGATACTGCCACTAGGCCTAAGTGTCCCACTGTGACTATCATCACACCACCTACTCACAACAAATCCCACGAAAGTAGAAAACCTCCACCCTATAGACCTCTTCTCACAGAACCCACCTCTCAGGACAATTGTGAATCACTGTTTACCCCAGTAAATGGACTAGCTGCTAAGAATACTCCAAGCCATTTTGGTGCAAGAAATCGATATGACCGATTAGCCCCATCACCTCTTTGGAGCATGACTGCTTTTAAGGCTCAGACTGAGCCGGTAAACCTGGATGAAGTGATCTCTGAGAATTCTCAAGAAGCTGCAGAAGAGAAGATCCCCTCAGATTATTTATTTGCCCAGAGTAGCATGGAAGTACAGCAAAACCAGTCATTGAGATCTGAGCCAAACGACAGAAGCCCTGGTCAGAATGGTGTAGCAAAAAGGTCAGATAGTCTTGACCAAGTGCCTGATATTGTCAATCAAAGATCAGAGACATTGCAAGCTTACAAAATCAGTGGTGCTGGAGAAGAATCTGTAACATCAGGTGTTCCAACCAGAAGTGCCTCACAAGAATATGTAGAGGAAGGGTCTACACCAGACACAGAGGACTATTTTAGCAGAGGTATGTTTGTGTAAATCAAGGGGTGCTCAACCCTGTTCCTGAACATCTGCCTTCCTGTAGATTTCAGTTGCAACCAGTGTCAAACACACCTGCCTGTAATTATCAACAGCTGTTTAGGTCCTAATTAATTGGTTCATGTTTGTTTGGTCAGGTTTGAACTTTGTAAGAAGGTAGATCTCAAGGAACAGGGTTGAGCACCCCTAGTGTAATCATTCCATTGATGTATATGTATTGAGTGTTATTGTATCTTATTTCGGAGAATTTAATCAAGAATGGGTTTTTATTTCAGAGTCCACACCAAGTGATCCATCTGTGTCCCCTCTGATAGACGAATCCAAAACTGAAGATGATAGCGTTTTCCTATCTCCAAGTAAAAGTCGCACGACTGAAGATCTCTTTGCCATGATTCACAGGTGTGTTTCAATATAGTTTTGTACATATTTGATGTCCTTAAAAGTAGGACTGGGTCAATAAATTGAATCAAGAAATGATTCTTTACCAGTTCTGAATTTTTCCTAATGCATTGCGATTCTCTCTTGAATCGGTTCCGAGCTTAGTTTTTACCACCAGATAGCACTGTAAGCTTTTCAAACTGCTACCAATCCTTGCACAAACGACTTGAAAAGTAAAACAATCTTTAATAAAGTTAATGATTTAACAAAAATATTTAAGCGAATAACAAGACAAGTTCATAGTAAGCTGTGTTTACATTATTCCTGTGTAATAAAAGCCATGGTGCAAGTACATATGTCCATTAACAGTACATGACCGAAAGCAAGTACATGGCTGAAAGTGCTCTTTAAAAAGTAGCCCCAAATTCCTCTGCTGTTATAAACTAGCCTAGAGTGCCATCTGCTTTTCAAGACTAGCCAAGACCATGGTCTGCTGTTGAAAAACTAGCCAACACCATGGTCTGCTGTTAAAAATTAGCCTAGAGCCCCATCTGTTGTTAAAAACTACCATAGACCGCTATCTGCTGTTTAAACTAGTCTAAATTCTTGTCTGCTGTTAAAAACTAGCCTATAGTGCTATTTGCTGTTTAAAAGCGGCATAGAGCACAATCAGCTGTCAAAAACGAGTAGGGTGAAGCTGCAGGCCCGGAGACCCAACTGCACACTTAGACCTGCATGCTCACACCAGCACTTTCAGACCTATCATTTTCTCAGACAGTGCCACCTGCTGTTCAGACCAGCAATTTCAAGACAGTCCTCACTGCAGCCCGCAGCTTGATGACATACTAGACCAGGTCCACAATGTAATGGATGATCGCCTACGCCTACCCTAAACCCAACTTTCACAGTAGTATGGGCGTTACCTTAGTGGGGGAACAATGTCCTCTATGTATTGGACCTGGTCCAGTACGTCATTGTGATTATAGACTGCAAGAAGGACATCTTAACACTTTCTAGCAAGTCACATAGCAGACACATCACCCTAACACTAACGGTAGGTCTGGAAGTGCTGGTCTGAGCATGCAGGTCTGAGCGTGTAGTTGGGGCTCTGGGCCTAGAGCATGGTCTGCTATTAAAAACTAGTCTAGAGCACAGTCTGCTTTTTAATTCTAGCCTAGAGTGCCTTCTGATGTTGAAAACTAGCCTAGAGCCTTATCTGCTGTTAAACTAGTCTAGAGCACAGTCTGCTTTTTAAACCTAGCCTAGAGTGCCTTCTGATGTTAAAAACTAGCCTAGAACGCCATCTGCTGTTAAAAACAAAGCTCAGAACCAATTCTAGGCATAATCGTATATTACTACACGTCAGTTTGTCATACCAACCCTACTCAAAAGTATCAACAAATGCCAATTTTGTAATATTTTGTATTTTACCGTCTCAGGTCGAAACGAAAAATGCTGGGCAGGAAAGATTCCTCTGAAACATTAGTGCGAGGCCGTTTAGCCGTTGTTTCTGGGAATGGTCCTGCTACAAATCCAACAACCCCGCCAAGCACCCCAAGCATACCTGCAAGTCCATCTGCTCAAACGGGGGCTCAGAAAACACCGGGTCCAATCTACAGGAGTGTCAAAAAGTCCAGTACCTCGAATGAAGAGTTCAAACTGCTGCTTTTAAAAAAGGGAAGTCGCTCTGACTCTAGTTATCGAATGTCAGCTACAGAGATCCTAAAGAGCCCCATCGCGCCCAAAAGCCCAGGTGAGCTCTTGCTTGAGGGTTCTAGACCACTCGAGGAACCACTTTCCCCTATACAACAGCAATTTCCAGAGGGACCTCCAGAGCAAATACCTAGCCCTTTTCCAAAAACTTTTGCTGAGGGCTTCTCCATGAAAGCCTTTCCCACATCTGCCTCAGCTAGACAAGGCCGGTCCAGGATGCCTCCAGCTGCGAACAGCAGCCGCTACAGTACACGCAGTCGGCTCTACTGCGCTCCCATGCAGGCCATATCAGAAGGTGAAACCGAAAACTCAGATGGAAGCCCACATGATGACCGTTCCTCCTGAAAAAAATAATGCACCTTTGACTTGTAGCATCAACTCTAGACACAATCTGATATTAAGGGGCCATTTACATGACAATATTTTCAGCCAAAAACGGGAATCTTTTTTATGCATTTTGCCTGTTGATTTACATGACGAATGGCTGTTTTAAAACTGAAAACACGTCAGTTTGAAAACACCGTCATTGTCGTGTCCTTGTAAACACCCGAAAATGAAAGTCTATCAAAACCATTATTCATTTCATCAAGGAAAATGGCTTGACACAAACAAAAACTGCGCCAGTAACATGACTAAATACCCATGCTTAGATCTGTTCAATTACTGAAAGAAAAGCACAATGCAGCGGATTATAATAAAATGTATTCTGATTAGTTTTTTAATTATTTTGAGCGCATTTCCTCAACAATATTGCACTGTTCGTTCATTAGTTAAGTGAATCAGAGCACAGGCATTCAGAGTTTAAAATCACGTCACTAGCGCAGAGGAACTGGTCAAGTTTCGGTTTGTTAAGGTGTTGGCATTGAACGTTTTTCGTCTTTATTTTCATTGATGAAATTAACTCTGATGAAAACGATGACATAATGTGCGTGCATGGTACATGGTACATGTTTATGGAGGTGTTGAACCCAAACAACAATGGCAGAGTAGACGGTTGTGTTGTTGTTGCTTAAATGTTTGCTAACGCTTCATCAGCAAATTGTGGATTTACTTTGCATCAGCTATACCAAAAGCAGAGACTCTTCATACGCACAATGCAAAATCTACATACACACTTCCCCAGCAGACACACAACGTCATAAGATAATATAAGGTTAGACTTAGGTCAACAGTGTCTAAGGACAATGTTATTTTGACGTCCAATAATGACGTGAGATGACGTTGATATTTTGGTGATGTTAGGTTGTGTTGGAAAGTGACCAAAATCCAACATTGATCTTAAACCAGGGGTGTCCAAATTCGGTCCTGTAGGGCCGGTGTCCTGCTGTGATTAGCTCCAACTTGCTTCAACACACCTGCCAAGAAGTTTCTAGTACATCTAGTAAGAGCTTGGTTCAAGTGTGTTTGATTAGGGTTGGAGCTAAACCCTCCGGGACATCAGCCCTCCAGGACTGAGTTTGGACATGCCTGTCTTAAGCTGCGATCATACTGGACTTTTCTCCCCATAAACTTCCATTCATATGCACGCGAATATGTCAGACTGAAAATGCAAGTTCGTGCAACAAGTTTCGCAAAAAAAATCTGCGTTGGAAAGTTCAAGCTTGGTGAACTCTGACCTACGAAATCGCATCACATGATTGCGTGAGATCAATCGAATATCAAAACATGACCTCTCTGTACAGAAAATTTAAATATGAACCAATCACTCACTTTTTTAAATGTCTAATCATCTTGTTTAATCACGCACCTTTTCGCAGCACCGTACCACAAATTCCAGTGTGACCACATCTTAAAACCAACGTCATATTGACGTCAAATACTGACACTTATTCATTGGGTATGGCAACCAAATTCCAATGTTGGATAGACGTCATATTGGTAATGTCCACACAATGTCAAGCAGTAACATCATTAGACGTTAATACTTTGTCGTTTTTAGGTTTTGTTGGAAAGTAACCGAAATGCGACCTCTGTCTGACGTTGGACAATCACGTCAGCCTGACATTGGATTCTGTCGTCAATCCGATTTTCATGTCCCAGCTGGGTTCCTTACAGATACTGTTAAGTTAGAAGATGGGGGGGGGGTTGTCGCCGTAAACTGAAGACTTGGGGAACGGGGGTGTTCTGGGGGAGCGCGGGCACTTCAGATAGTTTCGGAAGGGCACTTTCTATCCAAGACTGTCATGTGCACTGCACAGGTTAAGCCCTATGTGTGCACGTGCCTTGCTCTGGCATATGTAATACAGCGTTACTGGCCATTTTTGCAGATTAAAAAATTTGTCATGCAAGCGTGAAATGCAAAAAAAAAAGTTTAATTTTCCGTTTTTGGCTGCATCACTGTTGTGTAAACAAAGCCCAAGTCAATAATGCTGGAAACTTAACATACACAGTATGTGTTTTTAAACCGACCGTACGCAAACTACGCTAGCATATCCACAAAAAAAAAAAAAAAAAAACTATTCTAAGGATGATTTCCAGTGGTGGTGTTCCAGCGACTTCCATGAGCATATTTATTATTTTCTGTGAATGCTTTGTGTACCTTTCCTTTGAGAATGAGAGTGGAGAAAACGACATGCTAAAGGCCCATCACTTTGTCATTTTTTCACAGTGCACCAACGCGGATGCTTTTATCACACACATATTTAGAAAGAAACAGTACTGTAACTGGGGTAACTGTGAAAATGGGTCCGGATGGTGTTGAAAGAAGGGATAAAAAAAAAGTCTTGTACCTTAAAACAGTTCATGGAGCACAGCTTGGGACAATCAAAGAGTGGCCTTTTGTATAGTTAGCTGTAGCAGAAATGGGCTAGCCATTCGAGTTAGCCTGCAACTGGATCTTATTGGGCAAGACATGTAGCTGTGGTGGATTATCCTGATGGCCACTATTTTGCACTTCTTTTGGTACTGAGAAAATGTCAGACATTTTTGAGAAGTCTTACAACGAAAAAGCCACAATAGACAAGTGAAAAATAAATATCTATGTATAAAATATGAATTTAAATAAATCTATTTTAATGAGATTAGCTTAACGGACTATCTGGCTTCCTTTTAATGCGCCAAGTCGTTTTAAAGCAATGCTGCAAAAAGAAAGACCACGTTTCTTCCCTTTCGTTCAATATTTATCTTTTTAAGCAGGATTCTTACAAAAAAAAAGTAATAATAAATCAACCAATTGTTGAACTGATTTAAGAAGAACATCAGCAGCTACAACACAGGCACTAAACGTATTCTGTGAATACCGATCTTTCCTTGTTTATTAATGATTCTGCTCACTGTGAAGCGATTTTTGTTATTGATCACACAGCAGAACTAATACTGTGCAAGCATTTTACAGCCAACTTGAAATTATGCCTCCACCGCTGTGGTTGTAGCTTTTATATATTTCATGTTGATAGATCAAAGGAACTGCATGCAATAAAACTTTGGAGAGGAGCCGATATTGGTACGTCATTTTTTTTAGGAGTATCAATAAATTTGTCGATTATGTCAAATAGGTCATGAGCTGTTTTCCTATTCTTAAAAAATCAAATCTCTTGACAATCTTTTTCAAAGAAGTGTATGTGTAGTAAAACGGAATATGGCAGAGTTAGAAAGGTAAGTAGACGTTTTTTAGAAGTGTGTAGTGAAAGTGCTTTTGGTCAGGAGGTTTTTGCGGTTTGTGTTGCTTTGGGTTTGAGTGTGCGATGTTGAGAGGGCAATGAGGGATGTTACTAGAAGGACAAAAGTTGGGGTTCAATCTTAAAGGGATAGGTCTTTTAAATATGTACTGACCCTCAGGCCATTGAAGATGACTTTTTTCTTTAGTAGAACACAATTAGTTTGCATAATGGTAGTCGGTCATCAATTGTTTTAGTAATTAAAAATAAAAACATCCAAATAAGTCTGAATCAATCCTCGTGACTCTTGATGATACACTGAGGTCTAATTGGTTAAAAAGCGAAATGGTTGCTCTGTGTAAGAAATTAAATGCTATTTACAATGGTAAAATCTAGCCCTTGGTTGCTTGATGACTAGGGTTGCGTATTAAAAACCGGTTCCATTTTAGAACCAGTTCTAAATTTCAAAGAATTTGATGGCTAGAGTTGGGTCTCAAGAATTGTTTCCATTTTAGAACCAGTTCTAAACTTCAGATAATTTAATGACTAGGTGCATATTAAAAACTGATTCCATTTTAGAACCAATTTTAAATTCAGAGAATTGGATGACTAGAGTTGGGTCTCAAAAACCGGTTCCATTATAGAACCAGTTCTAAATTTTTGAGAATTTAATGTCTAGATTTGGGTCTCAAGAACCAGTTCAATTTTAGAACCAGTTCTAAATTTCAAAGAAATTAAAGACTAGAGTTGCATATTAAAAACTGATACCATTATAAAACCAGTTCTAAATTTCAAAGAATTTGATGACTAGAGTTGGGTCTCAAAAATTGTTTCCATTTTAGAACTAGTTCTAAATTTCAGAGAATTTAATAACTAGAGTTGCATATTAAAAACTGATTCCATTTTAGAACCAATTTTAAATTCAGAGAATTGGGTGACTAGAGTTGGGTCTCAAAAACCGGTTCCATTATAAAACTTGTTCTAAATTTCTGAGTATTTGATGACTAGCGTTGCGTATCAAAAATCAATTCCATTTTAGATTCAGTTCTAAATGTCATCCATCCATTCATTCATTTTCTTGTCGGCTTAGTCTCTTTATTAATTCGGGGTCGCCACAGCAGAATGAACCGCCAACTTATCCAGCAAGTTTTTATGCACCGGATGCCCTTCAAGCCGCAACCCATCTCCGTCAAACATCCATACACACGTTCACACACACACTCATACACTACGGACAATTTAGCTTACCCAATTCACCTGTACCGCATGTCTTTGGACTGTGGGGGAAACCGGAGCACCCGGAGGAAACCCACGCGAACGCATGGAGAACATGCAAACTTCAGGGAGAACATAGTTCTAAATTTCAAAGAATTAAATTACTTCAGTTGGGTCTCGAGAACCACTTCCATTATAAAACCAGGTCTAAATTTCAGAGAATTTGAGTTAGATCTCAAGATTCGATGAGGATTGGCAGAATACGGTAGAATCGCTCAAATTAAAACTCAACTCTATTGATGATGTATGCATGAGCACCGAAAACTGTTTGCTCAGGCTAATGAAAAGCTAATGAAAATGTAAATAATATTCAATTTCTTGCAGAGACTGATGGTTTCACTTCATAAGACCTCAGTGTATCACAATGAGTCACAGAGATTCATTTGGACTTGTTGGAATGTGTTTATTTTTAATTGGTCACTTTTTACTGACATTATGTTAATCATCAAGCATGATGAGTTCAGCTAAGCAAATCTTTTTTAATTTTCTACTGAAGGGCGGCATGGTGGCTCAGTGGTTAGTACTGTTGCCTTACACCAAAAAGGTTGCTGGTTTGAGTCGCGGCTGGGCCAGTTAGCATTTCTGTGTGGAGCTTGCATGTTTTCCCCGTGTTGTTCCCAGTCCAAAGACATGTGCTGTTGGTGAATTGACAAATTAAATTGACCATAGTGTATGTGTGTGAATGCGAGAGTGTATGGGTGTTTCCCAATACTGGGTTGCAGCTGGAAGGCATTCACTGCATAAAACATATGCTGGAATAGTTGGTGGTTCATTTCACTGTGGCAACCCTTGATAAATAAGACCCTGAATGAATGAATGAATGAATGAATGAATGAATGAATGTTCTACTGAAGAACCATGATGGCCTGAGGGCGAGTAAATTCACTGATGAACTGTCCCTTTAACACTGATGGGAAACAGAAACTCTTTTCTCAATGCTGGTAAAAGTAGCACAGACAATAAAATATCCAAAGAAGAGGTGTAGAGTCACGTCAGACTGAGAGACAGAGCAAGTCTGAAGTAGAAGGACATAAATAAGGATGCAGATCAAAGTAAAGACTAGGTTTAATAACACAGATGGACTTGCACTACAGTTTTGATGATCGTTTTTTATTTGAATTCAGTTTCACCTCACGCACCGTAGTTTCATTTTTGGTACTAAAGCAGAAGGATTTTTAGTGTCTCGCTGGATGGATTTTATGAACTTTATGCCTGCAGATATATTTATGTTTCAGAGGTCAAGCTTTATTGAGAAAACACTGGTTTTGAACGACAGAACTTAATGCTGAATATAAAACCACTTATAAATAATAATACTGGCATAAGCTACCATGTTTATGATCCCTTGAAACCCAATGGTGTCCAGTGGTGTGTCTGGCTTTTCTCTCCTTTGTGCCATTGACCTTCTGGTGTTTTTTGCAACTTTACCTTGCTTGGTGCGAGATTCGGTCTTTGGATCATTTATAAGACCAAGTATTTAAGCAACACTGTAAAAAAAAGTGTATGTAAATTAGCAATTTAGTATTTTTCTTCATATTTTTATGCTTTTGAATTGCATTATATGATCTTGATCTTTCCTCCAACAACATTTAATGTTGAAAAGGTTAAAAAAAAGTGACTTTTATGAACAATTCTAATAGTTTAAAGTGATTTATTGTCTGGGTTGATGTTGTATATTACGCTACAAAAACTTTGAAATACACTGCCAGTACATTTTCTGTTGTTTTACACACTTTATATTATTTCTTAAACATTATCATTGGTGGAAAGAGTAGTGAAAAGTCATACTCAAGTAAAAGTAGCATTATTTGAATAAAAATGCAGTGCAAACAGAATAAAGAAACAGTTGTAAATATCACTCAAAGTATGAGTAAAGAGTAGACCTTTCACATGTACTCAAGAGTAATTAGTAGTGAATCATTCGCTTTTAAAAGCTGATGCATTTACATGTCATTTGTGCATGTGTGTGTAAACGTAACATTCTGTAGAGCATTCAGTTATTGCCCAGCAGGCACACAACATCAGACATTAATATTAGATTAGATTAAGTTGTGAGGTCAGGTGATCTAAATTCATTGTTTATCCAGCATTTAAGGACATTTATTTAGCATTTAGCAATTATTTTATGTCCAATAACAATGTCAAATGACATTGATATTTAGTTGATTTTAGGTTGCGTTAGAAAGTGACCTAAATCCAAAGTCGAGCCAACATCTTAAATCAACGTCATATTGACGTCAAATACTGGCATTTATTCGTCAGGTACGGCAACCAAAATCTAATAGACGTCATAGTGGTAACGTCAACACAACATCAAGTTGTAACATCATTAGACGTTGATATTTGGTTGATTTTAGGTTGGACGTTTTCTAACGCCCATAGACAAGAAAAAATAAAGTTCTCACTTAAAACTGTTGGGTTAATAATAACCCAACGGGTAACCCATTGATGGGTCATTTTGGCACCGACCTGCTATTGTGTTATTTTAACCCAATCCATTGAGTTGTTAAGGTTAACCCAACAATTTGGGTTACAAAAATAACTAATTTGTTGGATTATTTTGACAAAAAGTGGCTTAAACACTAATCTCTCAAAAAATGTGCATCATTTCCTCCAAAAAAACTGTAGAAATGAACACTGAGGTAGAGAAACCAGTGTTATTCATATATAGATTGGCTATTAAGCACACATTTGTATCATCAAGTTAAGAGTGCTGCTTAAACGGATGTTAAAAACACGACACGAAGTGGTAATTTTATTTATATATATATATATATATATATATATATATATATATATATATATATATATATATATATATATATATAGATATATATATATATATATATATATAGATATATATATATATACGCACGCATATTAATACATCTGTTCTTTGTCAGTTAAATCAGTTGACTGTTGAAATTCAAGATTTTTAACCCAACTGGTTGAGTTATTAAGTCCCTTAATCGGCCTTACGATCATGGCCTCCCAATCATCCCCGTCCACCGAATTGGCTCTATTACTGTCTCTTCACTCCACCAATAGCTGGTGTGTGGTAAGTGCACTGGCGTCGTTGTCCTGTGTCTGCCGTCGCATCATCCAGGTGGATGCTGCACATTGTTGGTGGTGTGGAGAGACCCCACTCATGATTGTGAAGCGCCATACACAGTAAATGTGCTATACAAATACACATTACATTACATAAATAACCCAACAAAGGCTAAAAATAACCCAACAAAGCACCAAACATTTAACCTAACTGAGTTATTAATAAATAACCCAATAAAGGTTCAAAATTACCCAACAAAGCATAAATTATTTTAACTCAACTATTAGTGTAAATAAATAACCCAACATCTTTTAGAGTGTATAGAGACTGCAGGTTGAAGGAAAGCAGTGGAGTAAAATTACAGATACTGCTCTAAAAATGTACTCAAGGGAAAGTAAAAGTTATTAAACTACTTAGTATATTACAATTCTTGAGAAAAACTACTCAATTACAGTCATTTAAGTATTCTTGTATACTTGTTACTTTGCACCACTGCACATTATAATATTTCAATCTACTAAAATGTCAATAAAAGTCACTTTGTTGGACCGTAGAGTGGATTTTTCAACATTAAAAGTCGACAGAGCAGAGATCAACATCCCATAATGCAATTCACAACTGCAAATAAACGAAAATCACCCTTGAATCTTAAAATACAGAAACTAATTAACATGTTTTTTTTCTACAGTGTTTACTAGAAGCTACCTGCTATCTAGCTTTAGGTAGAGATGCTATTCAGAGAGGGAAGAATATGATTATAATCTGTTGCAAATCTAAAAGGTGGCAAAGACTTTAAAGATCTATTAAGATTTTTAAGCTACCTTTCCAACATTGTAAAATTTGCACTGATTTAGTATGTTTGTGAAGCTTTTCACATTGTGTGTTGCTGTACCTAAGGCTATTTAAACAGGAGAAGTTAAAGGTCCCGTGAAATTAAGATACATTTTTTTTAAATGTTAAGAACAGTATGTTAGTTTTAAGGATATCTATAAGCTAGCGCGCTCCAAAACCGAGACAAAATTCACGTTTAGAAGATATAAACATCCAAAGTTTGTGGTTTGTCACTTCCGCTTAAATGTATCATCAATTTGACTGGCATCATACTTCAGTTTCTCATTAAATATTTCGACCAATCAAATGCTCTCTATTGTCTGATAAGCCCCGCCCCCCTTAAAGACGCTTCTCGTTAGCTTTTCATTGGATGCGCTTAAGCTCAACCACTCTCACTGGCAGAGCTGTGATAAAACAGAACACTATTGGCAGTTTTTTAAAGGGGAGGAGCTACGTTATGCCCCGCCCTCTCTTCATGTTTTAGTTCAGATTACGACAAACATTGAGTTAAAAAATACACTTTACGGGACCTTTAACTTAAAATCGGTTTTGATTAATTATGCTTGGTAAATGGTAACATGCAAAGATTTGTGTACCAAAGGATTTCAGAGTCGAACAAACACTTGCTGTATTAAACACACACACACACACACACACAGTTATGTGATGTCTCTTCTGGTACCAAACTGAAGTCTTCAAGCAACTACAGTGATTTTATTTCTTATTTTGTACAAATCTGTAAATACGATACCTTTTAAAACAATCGTTTCCAGGGTGTTTCTTATGTACAATGTTTTCAAAGTTTACATTAATTATAAGCCTTTGTATATTTTTGATCTGTGCAACACTTTTGAGTCTTGTATTTATTTTTTAGTAAACTTTGTGGAAAGTCCCATTGTAAAAAATGTCTCTACAACCGTTTCGCCGTCTCGTCCGGCTGCTTAGTAAATGTGCATAGAAGAGGCCAATAAATGTGACTGCTTCAAACACGTAATCATCCGTGTGTGTTCAAGTGTTTATTTGCTAAACTGAAACATTTGCAGAGGTGTGTATGAGAATGGTGTTGATGGACTTTTGTGTACTGCACTTGACTCAATTTAAGTTGCATCAACTTAAAAGCTCTTCAGCCAGTTGCCTTACAATTGTAAGTTGTTTTTGTTTTACAGATTACTACTAGTACTACTAACAATGATAATGATGATGATAATAATAATAATAGTAATATAATAATAAGATAATAATAATAATAGTAATATAATAATAATATAATAATAATAATAATATAATAATAACAATAATAATATAATAATAGTGATCATAATAATCATAATAACAGCAATAATAATAATAATAATATTATAATAATCATAATTCATGCATTCATTAATTTTCTTGTCGGCTTAGTCCCTTTATTAATCCAGGGTCGCCACAGTGGAATGAACCGCCAACTTCCAACTATCCAGCAAGTTTTTACGCAGCGGATGCTCTTCCAGCCGCAACCCATCTCTGGAAAACATCCCAGAATTATGGACAATTTAGCCTACCCAGTTCACCTGTACCGCATGTCTTTGGACTGTGGGGGAAACCGGAGCACCCGGAGGAAACCCACGCGAATGCAGGGAGAACATGCAAACTCCACACAGAAACGCCAGCTGAGCCGAGGATCAAACCAGCGACCTTCTTGCTGTGAGGCGACAGCACTACCTACTGCGCCACTACGTCGCCTGAGAACAGTATTATAATTAAATAAATAAATTAAACTCATAATTAAATTACTCATTTGCCATAAACTTTTTAATAACATAGTTGTTTATTGATTTTGCAATTTTATATGGGCCTACACATTATAAAATGAGTATTGACATTTAAAAATTATTACAAAATCACTTAATTACTTCGGTTAATTTCGGTGAATGGCGATTCAGGGGAGTCAACTGTGAAAATTACCCAAATATTTTTATGTTTATATTTTTTTATGAATGCATCGGTTTTTGATGTTAGGATGAGAAGAGTTGGCTATTTATTTGTTATTTATTTTTCTGACAGCGCTAAGTCTGAGTAATCGACAAATAAAGACATAAGGTGCGTTCGACTTCATGCAGCGCTGCGCAGATCGATCGAAATCTGTCTTAAAGCGGTGCATGCTGGTTAGAAATCTTGTCCGGATTGATGCTGCGCCGACGCCATGTGACTGTCACATGTGGCATCAAAGTACCGCGACAGCGCTCCGAGATCAGACGGCAAACTCAGACCATGCAGCTTCTGAAGATCGACTGCAGGAGCTCTGATGACGACACCGATATTACACGATTGGCCGAGTTCAGCACATGACAACAAACACGTTGATTTCGGGTTTATAATTGGACAAATTCCGATTCAAAAGTTTCAAAACAAACAATTCACTTTTCACACCCTCTCTATCCTGTACACATCTTACTTATTAAAAGACTACAAATATTTTACTGCAGTAATCATCTTTTGTTAAATAATCCGGTTATAAAGGTTAGCTTGTTTGCACAGGTTTGTTTTCAACCTTTTTATACAGACTATTTACTGCATTCATCTCCATGAACGATTTAAATGATATATTTTAGTGTATATTTTAGTGAATAACCTAAATAAGTCTTACAGACTTGAAATAAAATAATCATCATCATTGATCCTGTCACCCTAAAGCTCTCTTAACAAATTAAAGTAAAGAACTATTTTATTAAATAATTATAAAATGGTTTTATTATTATAATATAAATATATATTTTATTTCCTGTCTAGCAGTTTAAAGGCTACCTGCTCTTTCTGGGAAACTTTTACATCGCTCACTTATTTTACCTTTTGTTCTTTTCAACACAATCTTTTTGGATTAAAATGCTTTTTTGAAAATTCATTCATTTTCCAAAATAATCTAATTTATTAAGACCTAATCAAAGCACCTTGTTTTGCTTTTTACATTGGAAATGTTTATATCTATAAATGTACATATATGTAAACCTTTTTTTTTAGCATATTCAAACAAAAAGTATTAGCCTAAAGATTGATGTTTAACTCCTAGAATTTATGCTTATTGCTTTGTATTTAATAGACCTGTTCGTTTTTATGTTTATATTAACCTCTTATTTCCTCTTATTTCTCTCATGCATTTGTAATATTTTATTCGTAATTCTCCCTTATTGTTTAAAAGGGAACTACAGTTTGTAGAGACTGTATTCTGTTTTATTTGTAAATGTTTTGTTGTTATAAATAAAAATATATATATATATATATGATGACCCCATGTGATCGGTCATCATGACTGCAGCAACTGAGTCCCGAAGTGTCCAGCTGTCCGTCTTGACGGCTCCGTTATCAACTCCGCCCCCACCTGCGCTCGGCTAATCTCGTTGATCACCGGCTGCAGCTGAGCTTCATGTCGAACGCACCTATACTTACTAGACATAAACAGAAACACATTCAAGCAGGCTGAACCCAACTACTAATTCACGCGACATACGGGAGAAACATACTAACAAACATTTTATACAAATAAATATTTACAACTAAATAAATAAAGATTTAAAAACATATGTTTAATTAACCACAAAAACAAATATAAATAAGTAATTATAAATAATCTGGGTGAATAAAATATTTAAAGAATAAGCTTTACTACATCGGTGCTCCCCCGGTTACTTTGAGTTGGTATCAGCCGACTGAAGTGGGAGGTATAAACATCCACTGCGACTCGCTTCAAACCGTTTGCCAGTGACCGCGGAGATGGAGGACATGTGTTCTCCACGCCACCTCATAGCAACCTAGACCCAAACAAGGATAAAAGATAAAGAAACATCCTTCGACGAAAACAGTAAGTGTGCTGTCCAAACAAAGTACTAAAATTTAATGAACAAAGCATTGAGTGTATGAAATAAGAGTTAAGTACAATTAGTATCGTCTCCATACGATACAAACCATACAACGTTACAGTATAAAACTAAATTAAAACGTCGAGAATGAGTTGGATTTTAACGCTGTAACAGCTTCTAGACAGCAAATTAATAGATTTGTGAAGTGAGGTTTGTGTTATTAATGATGAAAAACTGAAAAGTGAATGTACAGATTATTACGAGTCTGGATTTGTGAACGTTCAAGGCTTTAAAGGGGTCATTGATTTCACTTGAGTTACCGTGTAATGTTACTGTTTGAACATTAACCTTTAAGAATCATTACGGTGTTTGAGATATTTTATTTTACCAAATGTACTAAATTAAACAACTTTACCCCAATCCAAAACCTTCCTCCCGAGATTCCAATAACTTAAATGCCTGCAAACATTTTCAAACATTCTCACTAGGGCAGCAGCACGATATGGCAAAAATATAACATTGCAATATTCTTTCAATCTGCTATATATATATATATATATATATATATATATATATATATATATATATATATATATATCGCAAAAATTGAAAAAAGTTTGAGAACCGCTGGTTTAACTGTAATCGAAGTGAAATTGTATTCATATATATTTTAAATATATATTAAACTTTTTTCATAAAGTACCACCTCAGAAAAGAATTGTCTCTCCAAGTACCACCATAATGAACAGTATTTAAATAAAGTAGCCTAGTAGGCCTAATTAAGGAGCTATAGCACTGCACAGTTCAAAAACCAGGCAGATTAATTATTATTATTAAGAATTTTTATTATTGTCAGCCACTTTAAACATTATAGTTTGAACAATAACACTGTACTGTGCTTATATGTAAAAAAAAAAAAATTTAAATGTCCACGTTTTAATTAAAATGTGCTAATAAAATGGTAGACTACTGTTCTAAAAAAGTAAAAAAAAAAATTAAAAAAAAAAAGACTAAAACTCCAAATGTAAAGTATTAACATGTAGTAGGTTATTCATCAAAACCTAGAAATGTTGCTTGGACCTCATAAAAATAGTCATCATATTGTATATATAAATAATATGTGATACATTTTTAAATATATTTTGCATGTAAATATATGACATGTTCCTCCGCGTACCTCTAGTGGTACACGTACCACAGTTTGAGAACCACTGAGTTAGACTATTTGAAAAAAAATGTATCATTCAGATTGATTTATTGATTCTGTAAGAGAGTGCATAAAATATAATAAACAACTTACAACCATATATAAATTCAATAAAAAAAGATACAAATAAAAAATTATTTTCTTATTTAATAAAGTGTTTTATTGTTTTCCGAGCAGTCAAACTGTATTCAGGTATACATTAATTGAACAATAAAATGTAAAATAATACTGTAGAGTCTTCTGTTTTATAAACAATTCAATAAAATTAACCATTGTTCATTTGTCAAAGGTACAAACTACTCTTATGCCTTTGTTACGGTTTAACTGGTGACAGTGTTAACTGGTGTCCCTTTCCAGATGTAAGCTATTCACGTTTGCTGATTGGCAGATTAGTCACTTTTTCAGTGCAACGAAACATGCCCATATCAAATAAAAATTGTTAATACTTGGTGTCAGTGTCATTGTGAGCATTATTGATTTTAATATATGTGTAGCAGAACAGTATATAACCAAAATTCTTTTTTTTTTAAATTTAAATTTACATGTCATCAACGGGATTCGAACTCGTATAGTCAAAAAGGTTCAGCTCACGCATCAATCACCTTATCTAACTATACATAAAGAGGTCTGTTTTAATATCTTTATCAGTCAAAATTTGCTGTGCTGTGGTTGTGGACTCATGTTGATCGATGTTCCATCGATGTAACATGTTTACGTTTTTTTTGTTACATGTACTCGCGATAACGTGTTTCTACAAACTCTCCCGCTGATAGAACAGCTCTGAATGACAAAACGATGCTTCATCAGTTGCTCAAACCATGTTTTTTCATAGGTGTAGACACGTGTACCTGTGCCTTAGGAGTCGTGTTAACTCATCACCCATGCTAACACATGTAACATACATAAAGACTTTACAAAAAATGAATACAAGGAGGATATTATGATGCAACATATTATAACTAATATATATATATATATATATATATATATATATATATATATATATATATATATATATATATATATATATATATATATATATATATATATATATTTAT